ATCATGTTGGCGCCTTCCCGTGATCCTCGCTAGCACCTGAAACACATATCACATAACACGGTAAGAATAAATGCTTAGTGAGTTCCCCAAAATACCACATACAACACATACGCCTTTCCAGGCCATAACTTTGTGGGACCTTCCAATCCAAGTTTCTTAGGGGACTTCCGTCCAGAATCCCGGTAGACCTTCTGGTCCTACCCGTATCGACCTTCCGGTCCATAACCTCCTGACCTTCTGGTCCATGACATCTTGACCTCCCGGTCCATATCATCTTGACTTTCCGGTCAATATCATCTTGACCTTCCGGTCCTTAGCACATATAACATACATAACACATACATATCATATATCAGTATATATCACATACATCTCATATCATATAAGACCTTCTGGTCACACATAGGTACCATTCCAGGTACAGTATAGTGAGAAAACTCACCTCGTCTGATGTCTAGTAACTCACGTGCTCAAAATCCATTAATCTCGAAACAACTTCCTAGCCCCGCCTAATCACATAAAGTAATTGTTTCAAATCGTTAGCGGCTCTCAAGGCTAGACTAATCCCTTCCTATGTCCTCTCAGAAGGCTAAGAGACCATTTTACCCCTCAATGGTCCTAAAAGTCCAAATGTTAACTAGAACCCTAAAAGTCAACGAAAGTTAATAGCAAGCAGTACACGGGGCGTACCAACTCGTGTATACGGGGCGTACTCCGGCTAACCAAAATCGGGGGACTTGACCCCTTACGCAGGGCGTACTTGGATTACGCCCAACGTAAGTCCCAGATTCCCATTCAACAAAGTTTTGGTCTAAATCGATTAAGACAACGGTCCATATCACAGATGTAGGCACTCTACTGCCTCCTAAACCATAGAGTCGAAAACTTTAGGCGTTTGCATGGATAAAAAGGTTATAACTTCTTCCAATCTCTTACCCCCTGTTCTCATTAAGACCACAACTCATGCATGACTCCACAATGACGACCAAGTTTGGATTTTTATGCATCTACTACACATCCAAAGCTTAAAATAGGGCACATCAAGGCTTGTGGAGACCATTTACTCAAAAAGTCTCCATCTTGGGAAAACAACGTAAGAACTTGGACCATGAAACAAAAAACCAAAATGAAGAGGAAAGTTCTTTGCGTTTTACATCCAAGTGATGCTCCCACCCTTGCAAAGCTCAGATCCAAAGTTTGCACTCCAAGACTAGCTTCCATAATGATCCTCTCTTCTTCTTCACAAACAAACAAAAGAACTTCCATGCTCAAAAGCACACACACACACACACAGGTTAAGAATGATGGTTGGCTCTCTTTTAGGGTTTCACTCTCTCAAATGGTGGCTGAGGATAAGGACATAGCCTTCTTTATATAGGGCTCAAGTCTAAATTAGGGTTTTGAGTCTGGACCTGCTACACCCAGTGTAGCTCAAGGTACACCCAGCGTACCGGGTTTAGTTCGCATCGAAAACACGCCTTTGAGTACGCGCAACATACTCAATTTTCTTGGTTCACTTTTAAAGGCTAAACTTGACAACTTGGAAAAGAAGAAGGGTTTAAGAGATGCACCTGAATTTCGGGATGTTACAGGTTACATAGGACTCCCATAGCCATAAAGTTGGTAGCTTTATGCCATAAAAACCCCACAAGACCCTAGATCTGAAGTGTTAGCCCATTTAGGACATCCAACTTCTATGACAAGGATATTTGGATAAAACCAAGCAAAATAACCCAAAAAGAAGATCGAAATAACTACAAGGCAAGGTTCAAGCTTTACACTAGAAAAGTATTGTGGATGAGGCAAGGATTTTAGTTCTACAAGCTCCTTAGTGTGCCTTCAAGGTTTTGCTTCTTCTAATGGATTTAACACCCACCAAAAACACCCAAAATGAATCACAATCACTCAAAATAGCTTTAGGGTTTCGAGATTTAGGGTTAGGATAGTGTAGGCTAGATATGAGGCTAAACTCTTAGGCTTAAGTTGTTTAAATAGGGTGTAAAGTCCTGATTTTAGGGTTTCCCAAACCCTATCTAACTCGTCGACTTGATCCTCCCCAACTTGTTGAGTTGGTCTTCCAAAAACGCGAGCTCCAACTTTCCAACAGGTTGAGTTTCTTTCCCAAAATTCGACAAGTTGTAATGGTGGTTTTACTTCCAAAATCGACCTTCTAGATTCCAGGTTTTACAACTCTCCCCCAATTAAACTAGACATCATCCTCGAAGTCTGCTGCGATCATCTATCCCGACTACAGTTCCTGTGCCATGCCTGCGACCACCATTATCCGACATGAACCAACTGATACTTCCAACGAGTACCGACTCCCGCCATCCTTAGGGTACAAACATTACCCCGCACAATCAATGGCCTTCCCAAGGCAACCAAGACTTCTCTCTTGGAAATAACACCCAAATCTTCAACCCTTGCAAGCCACTTCTACCTTCTAAGACCTGAAATCTACAATAACCTGACTTCCTGACAGCTCGCCCGTGTTGAAACCACTTCCTGCGAAACTCTCAATGAGTTGCAGACCAATAATAACACGTCCAACAATCATCTATCCAGATCTACCGAAACCATCCTCGGAATACTTCCTCGAGTCGGATAATGAACGAATCCTCAAATTTCTGAATAAAAACCGACTCCACTTATCTAGAATCCGAAACCTAAGTCTTAATGGTCTGACTCCCTGTTGGACCCCTCACACCGAAATACCACCAAGCCATCCTCATAGATTCTTGCGTCTCACAAAATGCTTTTAATCCGTGAATACATTGTTATCTCACCGGAGGCAAAGTCACTGACCATATACTACTAAAGAACACTTAACTCGACAGGAGGCTCAAATAATCCTTTGAGCAGATGTTAGTACCAAAAACTATGGATCCAATTTAGTAATCAATGAAGCAAATAGCAATCAAAATTAAGTGTAGAAGGAGTGAAGATAGATAGCATCAAGCATGCACACATCTATATCATAAATGTCAAGTACACCTTGAGAAGTACACACACTACACTATTCAGCAACAAGTACAATCTGACACAAATCAACTCCTATAAATAGTATCCCTACCAGCACGTGACTGTGCAACCATACACACGTATACGGCTGCACACACGTGTGAGGCTGCACACATACAAGTTCAAATCACTACACTGCAATACAAACACTGAAACCCTAATCAGATCTATACAAAATTAATGCCTAGCTCAAACAACAGTATTATGGACCTTCAATCTCCCCCTTGATTTGAGACTAGCATAGTCTTGAACTTCATTCATTTGGCTTCTCGGCTGGCTTCTCATACAGCTTTAGATCCAATCTTCCCATCGATCCCATCCACATCCTTTCGTTAATGATTGTAGCCACCATTGCAGTAAACTATTTGGTAGCAGCTTCCATAATGTCTTTTCTGCACATGATCTGGTGACGATCCAAAGTTCAGATATCCCTCTCTCTAAATCGAAGAAGATCTTTGGCACTTATCAACCTCAGAACTTGTTCCCGATCCTTGAATTTGATAGCAGCAGTTGCAGTTTCGTCATCATAAGCCCAAAATTCTATTTTATGAAGATATCCCTCATGGAAGTGTTGAGGGATAGGAATTTCCTTCTGCTGCTTAGTTGCAGGCCAAAGTATGATCTTCATAGGCTCGCCTGATTCTGGATCTAGAGTTTATGTATCTTTTCGGTACAAGGCTCTTGCAGTCTTCATTGACGGAATATTTTCTTTTACTTGCGTGTCAAGAAACCTTTTGAAGTTAGAGGCACTGGGATCTTCAGAGGGATTATGGAATGGGGCCCTTGATAGTTCAGCAAGATCCACTTTGGTCCATGAGTTAAAATCATGGGTGCTCTTGTAATACTCAGGAATGCCTGAGTTTCTTTTCACAACCACATATTTGTCGCAGGATCAAAGGCCCACATTCGGATTCCTGATCTATCTCCGAACTCGTCACCAAATTTTCTTTTCTTTAGACCAGTCATAGTCAGAACAGGGTCTTTTGCCTTGTGATTCTCATTTGAATTTTTCATGAATAATAAACCTTCGTGTTTGTTGGCTGTATGGTTATTTTTCCCTGTTTGATCGTTATTCGGGCTCTGCTTCCTTCTGGCTCCTTTTCAAATCTATTGACAATAGTGGTTGTTCAAGGAGCAGGTGGATCGACAGGAAGGTCATCAAAAACAGACTATGAGTGGGCTGTGGGAGGATCATCGATTTCATGTGGCTGTTGGAAAAGAGCCTTGACTTTTTCACGAAATGCGTCCTACAAAATGTTCTTTAGATTGAAGTAGCTAGTTGTCACTGAACCAAGATTCGTCTGTAGATTTTTAATCTGTTTTGTCTTCTTCTCATCCTTTGCTCTGAGATCTTCAATGTAAGAAGTGAGTCGATCCATTTGAATGGTCTTCTCAATGAGTTCTTGAAGGAGAATCCCAATTTCTTCACGAAGATCAGAAGTGGAAGATTTGTCATCACCTGTGCACTCCTCTCTAAATGATATTCCTTTGCCATGAGAGGAGGTTGGACTGTGTTGGGCCAGGTGTTTTACTTACCTTATAGAAGCTTCATCTAATGAAGGTTTGGTGGGAGAGTATTCTGGTATGGATCATGAGCCACCAGTTTCAAACATATTGCTCGGACCTTCATCAGATAGTTCTGTGAAGAGTAAGCAGTTGTAGCAGTGATTGTGGAGAGAACTTGAGGAGCACTAGCTACAATGGGTACCTCCAGACTTGCAAAATATTGACTTGTTTCCATGGAAGACTGAGAGTTTTGGGGATTAGTTGAGTCAGATACAATTGGAGCAGATGTTGAGATGGATGACACAAAGGGAGGAATCTCTGATGTCATATCTCCTTGGCTTGATGCAACCTCCAGGGGCTTTGATGTAGAGAGAAAAATTTTAAGAACATTTCCTTCTTCTCTAGTCTTGGTTACTAAAGAAGCAATTTCAGTGACTTTATTAGGACAACTGGATTCCAATAAAAGGACCGAATTATTCATCATCAAGATCAAATTCTATATTTGTCGGGATGTCATCACTAATCCCTATAAAATCAATGTCCTTCAAAAACTCTACATCATTATAACGATCATCATCATCATCACCCTCTTGAGCAGATAGTGTTTCATTTTCTTTCTGATGATCATGTTCCTCAACCACAGCGGCTGAAGGAGAATCATGAACCACCTCAATTTCTGGCTCGAAAGTTGAATGAACAATGTCTTCATATTCCATGGGGATGCACCGCTCTCCTGATTCTGATCGATCACATTCTTCAAAAATTCCAAATTTTATCAAAGGGAACTTTCCTTCAAACATGAATTTCCCACCTCTCATTTGTTTCATTAGCCCAAAAGCACTTGGACCAACAGATTTGAGATCCAAGGTTTCATTGGCTCTCTGCAGCTCAGGATGCATCACATTGAAGATGATTTGCAAAAATCTTGGGTACATCAAGAATTTATCCCTCTTGCTCCCTTCAAGTTTTAGAATCAACTCATGCATTATGAACTTGGAGAAGTTGAACTCAAATCTTGCAGCCAAGGCTACGATTGCTCCTGTGTTAGCCAGGAAGATTTCATTTGCACTTGATCTCCTGTAGGAAATACAACTCATAAACACGTAGGCCAGATATTTCCAACGAGGAGGAAGCAAATTCTTGATGGTAGGGGGAAATGTTCCCTCGTACCCCATGTGTTCTAAGACATTGTGGGTTGGATGAATGTCAATCTCCATAGTATACACAGATCTATTGTCTATTTGAAGAGATTCCTGAATAATGCTCTCTGACACTTGAACTTTCTTTTCTTCAATTTTCGCTTCAATGAACTTTTCACCCTGATTATACTTTTTCACAACTGCGCTCCTCCAAAAATCCATGACCAGATTCTGATAAATTACAGGGCATGTGGTTAAAGCACGGACTAGGAAAGACTTCTTCAAACCATCAACAATGAACTTTAAGTCATTGTGAGCTGCAGGAGGGTCTTCGAGAAAAATGGCAGAGTTGTGGACCTTAGCAAATTCCATGTCTGCCATCTTAATCTAAAAATAAACACAAGTGATCATTAGGGCAAAATTAATTTTGGAAATGGTGCAATCGCACATAAAAGTGCACACAGTCGCACACGTGCAGGTGTGCAGCCGCACACGCTCAACCGCTCAGCTCAACCGCTAACAAGTTAATGTAACCACACATGGTTCAGTCGCACACGCCCGTGTGCGGCCGCACACACCGTGTGCTGTCTCACTTGCATACGAAATGATTGACACTTCGATTAAACAGCAAACGATAAATGATTTTTCATAAAAAAAATCAATTTTTGAGCCGTGTTCATGAGAATTACCAGTTAAGAACATGAGAATGGAAACAATGCCGGTGAAAGTTGTTGGGTTTTAGCCATAAGAACATCATATGTGCTCATACAAACCCTAATGCTTGGATGCAGATTTCTCTATTGTACATGCAATTCATCCAAGACTATAAACCCTAAATCTAGCATATGATAATCAATATTAACATAAGAATGGGTATAAGATATTACCTTGATTGTTATGTAGCAATAACAATCTCAATTCCTCCTTGTAATGACTTTAGAAAGCTTAGAGTCACAAATGTTACTCCTCTAATGGTTCACAAACACCAAGAGCAAGAGGATGAAGAAGATAAGAGAAGGAGACTGCCCAAAACGTGTGGAAACCCTAACCAATTAGTTCACCACGTTTTTGGGGCTTAAGGGTCCTTTAAATAGTGAGGCTATTAGGGTTATCTAACAAGGAAACCCTAATTTGGATGCTTAGGCCCTAAGCAACCCATGAACCCCTTTTTAATAAGTCTTGGACGATTTCTAATGGGTTTCCCCATAGAATTCGTCCAACCTTATATTATAAGGTAATCCATAGCCCAATTGCAATTATCTTATAATTACAATTCTAGTCTATTAAGTTTAATTAATATCTTTTAGCCACAAACTTAATTCTTATTAATTCTTGACTAATATTAATTAAACAATATGATTTCTCCTTTAATATATTATTCTCAGAATATATTAATACATCATATTTAATCCTTTCTCTCCATAATTCATCCTATCAAGTTGCTTTGGTGAAGGCAACCCAAAAGGACCACGTACCATCGGGTCAAGTACATACTAAAATAGTTATGGACTTAGACACTAATCCAACAGTCTCCCACTTGGATAAGTCTAATAACTATTCTGCGTATGACTTCAGATCCTGATATGCAATCGTAGCTTTCTAAAGCCGCTATCAACTCTAATCTTATCAGATACACATGTCCTTTAGATAAGGGATCATATATTCCTCCATTCTAGATATCGTATAGACTGAGACATGGATCTAAATCATTCTCTCTGTCTATGTGCCGTTTCCCGAATTCAGATTTATGACGACGGACAACAGACTACAATTTGAACCCATCAAATTAGTCCCGGCTTAGCCAAGCACTTAGGTGCCATCGCTAAATCATCAAGGGCCCATAGATATCGCTTTTATCCTACTTCGGATAAAAGGAAAGGATAAACTTTGACTCAATGCTCGCTTACACTCACTCACCAAATTACACACAACAATATGTTTTATAACACCAAGTTACTTGTGCGTTTACATATTATCAATGTGCAACCGACTCGCAACATACAACTCATACATCTCGGTTTCGAGAATATAAGATGTTATCATCTCACCAATCACTCGTGATAAAATCCATGAAGTGATCCAATTGAGTGTGGGTTTAATCCCATGCTCAAATCATATTCATAAGCACTCATGAACGTTGCATCAAACATTTTCTTATGTCTATTTCTCTTTAGACAATCCACACACCAATTCACGACAGTCTTCATTCATACCTACTTCCAACATATGAACGACTGTGGCCCGTTCAAATAATTTGACTGTTCTTAACCAATTAAATTATTCAGGAAGTCAAAACATGCAAGGTGAAACAGAAGAATAATACTAATCCCATATGGCCTCAACCCTCTGAGTATAAATAAAACACCTTTTATTTATCACCATATCGATTACTCATTATTTGTCGTTTCGGGTAATCAAATTCTTACTTGAACTATAACTATACTTGTCCCATGCTCTTAGCATGCACATAATGTTTACCTATGGTCCCTACTTTGTGAAATAGATCAAATGAACACATTTCCAATCATACTCATTTCACAACTCCCAATCCTTATGACAAGTGTAAGAATATCAAATTCTTGCCACTTATAGAATATGCTACATTCTAACATTTTATGCATTGATCCTTTTTGTAATGTCACTGCACTAAGGTTACAATGACTATTGCAAATGAATTACAAAGCTCTCTATCGGAAATTGTTTACAAGACAATTCCATAGATGTGATGTCTCTCACTCAAAGTACATTCCTTTGAACATCCTTTTGCATACCAAACCTTCAGTGTTATTTCTCTCATTTTAGTCTATCCAAATGCATGATGCCATGCAACCCAAATGGACCATGCTGAGTTGGGTCAAGTACATAACAAATATAGTTATGGACTTAGACACTAATCCAACAAATCTTGCATAAGTTGTGATCAATAGAGGAGGGAGTTTCAGATGGTTGTCAATGTGTTCTGACTCATTGATGATTCCTCTATGTTTCAATTATGAATTGGAATATTCTGAAGTTTCTAGTGTGTGAGAGGAAGATCGGTTATGAGATTCTGGAAGGATGTGTTTGTTGGATAAGGTGTCTAAGTCCATAACTATTTTCGGTATGTACTTGACCCAACCCGACATGGTCCATTTGGGTTGCATGGCACCATACAGATGGATAGACTAAATGAGAGAAATAACACTTGTGGATTATTAATATATTATAAGATCTAATATATTAATAATATTATTTAATTAGTTTGATCAAGAATTAATTTAGAATTAATTAACTGATGAAAAGATAACTAATTAAATATATGGGTTGATTATGTAAATCATCCATAACTTGTATAGTGGGCTAAGAGGCTCCATGGATTATCAAGTTGGGTTCCACCCATAGGATGCTCCATGGATGCTCCATGGGAGTTACAAACCCAAGGGTCATGGAAATGAAGAGTCATGACACAATAGGGTTTACATGGTGTAACCCTAGATGTGTCAACACTGTATAAGGAACCCATTCTCCACCAAAATCAGCTACACATGAACAAGTGAGGGCTAGGCTGATTTTTGCAAGTGTAAGATTCTTTCAAAGTTTACTCCTTTGCATTTGGTGTTGTGTGAAGCATTTGAGGCATCAAACTTGGGGTGCTAGGCTCACAAGGTTTCAAGGATCACAAGCAACAACAAGACAAACATAGATCCAAGGTTATTAGGGTTGCATGTACACTTAGGAAGTGTTAGAATGCTCAAAAACCATCAATGGTATCAGAGCCTAGGCTTGTTTGTTTGTTATTTGTGCAAAACTATTGAAAAAATTCGATCTTGTGCTATCTGCCTGCTAAACTCGTCGAGTCGATGGGGGGACTCGTCGAGTTCATGTGTAAGTTCATCCTACTCGCCGAGTAGGTTCGTGCACTCGACGAGTAAGAGCCTCAGAATGCATATTTTCAACTTTTGTTGCTAGAAATGGACTAGAAACATTACCCTAAACTGTTTTTGTACTTGAAAACTTGTTTTAGATTGTGTAATGTTTATGCTAATCCATTTGCAATGGCAATTATCAAAAATAACAAGTTTTTAAGTGTAATTTTTGATTCTTGAAATATTCATATTCATGTTCATGTTCTTGAACTTATGAAGATTAGATGATCATAGGAATTGCTTGTAACCATCATGGTAGTTTAATTCATGATGATAAAGTGTTTTAATGGAGTCCATAACTTGTCCTCAAGTTATGGAAAACCAAAAGTCACACTTTTATTAAAGCCATTAAAAGAACACAAGAGTTATAAAAAATGAAGAGTCTTTATTTTTATGAATCAATTAATTCATAAGTTATAAGAAATGAAAAGTTTTGAAAGTTTACAAAACTTACGCTCAAGTTTTGGAACAAGTAAAGTCTTAATTAAAACTTTAGTTCCAACGCTTAGAATTTTAAAAGTTAAAATTCAACCCTTATACTTTATAATATTATAAGTTAATAATAATAATAATAATAATAATAATAATAATAATAATAATAATAATAATAATAATAATAATAATTGATATGTTCATAATTAGTTAATTGTTTAGCATATATTCTTAGTATTTTTAATTAATTATGTGAATAATGTGGACAAAAGGTACTTAAAATGTTGTGAATTTTGTTTTCAGTCCAGAAGATATGCTTGGAAGTAAAAGGGAGCAAAGGGAAGCAATTGAAGATCAAAGAGTGAAAAAGGTCATCTACAAGGCGAGTAGATCGACTCTACTCAGCGAGTACACGAGGATGTTCCAGAAGATAACTATGACTGCTGATTCAAGACGGATAACTATGGACCTACTCGGCGAGTTGGTTCTGCTACTCGCCGAGTACACCCTGTTTTGGGATATCTATAAAAGACGAATCCTTATCTAATGGGACTACACTCCTGGCGATTTTTGAAGGTTTAGCTGCGACTAAGAGCCCTAGAAGACGCTAAGGAACCCTAAGCTTCAATCTTTGGAAGAATTCAAGAAATTAGGTTAATTCTACCACTTAGATTTAGGAATTGAATATGTTTGCTTTAGTAAACTTTGTCTTAATGTTTGTTTCTACTGCAATTATGAACTAAATTCGTTTTTGTTTCTGTTTAGGGAATACCAAGGAACTCCTATGGTTTAGTTATAAGTTCTTGCTTAATTGTCTATTGGTGATTTATTAAATTAAGTTTGTTAACGAAACTTATGTATTAATCACTACTATTTTCTGTTAATTGGAAGGCAATTAGGTTGCATGAACATCTCTTAATTGTTAACCTCATATGTGTATGTGAATACTAAACCATATGCTTAGAAGTAATGATTATGAAACTAAGATTAATAATAAAATAGGAAGATTAATGTGTGAGCTTGTTTGAGAAACCATCAACAAGA